GGGGGAGGGGAGGGGGAGAGGGAACAAGGCTTGTTAAGATTCAAGGAACTGTCCAGCATTTCTTGTCAAGAAGCTTGCTGGCTCAACAGATCAGCTTGCTTCTCAGTCAGAAAGAACAAGTTCCCCGATTCTGACTCGTCCCTTCTCCAAGGTGTCAATGGAGTGCCTTTGCATAGTAGTAGTAGTAGTAGTAGTAGGCAGGTTTTTTTTTTTAAGCTGATTGATCCAGAATCCCAACCCCCCAGGCACATGGTAGACCACAAAATGAGAGGTTCCCCTATCAGAAGATACCCTTTTCACCTTCTTAGCTTCCAGGGACCACATACTTTGCTATAAGCCCTCACCCTCTATAGCATACTCTAGCTGCATACTATTCCAGCTGCAGAGCTCTTTGGCCCCCTGTTCTTCATGCACTCCATAGCTCACTTAAGGCTGGCTAGTCCTTACACAGCATTGGTAGACAAATAGATGTTCAAATACTTGCTATATTCCCTCAAGAACTCTGGAGCTCATAGACCTTGAAGAGAAAGCAATTCCAGCCCCCACTGGTGTCTGCTGGAGCCAGTCTCCTGAAAGGCACCCTAAACCCATCTAACAGGTCCTGAAGGTCTGGCCTCCACCATCCACCTCTTCTCAGCCCCATCCTCCCTAACAAGCTGCCAAACTTCCAGTGTCCCTCACCCTCTTAGGGGTGGGGCATAAACAGGGACAATCTTTCTTCTGACCCAACTTCAAGAGGAAAATGTGTAGGAAAGCTTCCTCAGGAACTTCTAAGGCACCTTACAGGTGGTCTTGCTAAACCCCATTTCTAAGGGCACAAACCAAAGGTAGCAGGAGCCTGGCATTCCCCCACGTCTGAAAACCTGGAAGAAAGGATTTGGGCCTTCTATTCCCCTGAAGCCCAACCTAGGAATGACATTCCTGTTGTGAGCTCTGCTCTGCCCATCCCTTTTGGTGTTTCTGGCCCTGGGGCTGATCTTTATGGCACAGCAGGTCAGCATTTTCCACCAGGCATGGCTGGACCTGAACTTCAGGGAGTATCAACATCCATAGGCAAGACTTGCTATGTACCTTCTTCCTTACTAGTTAAGATTCAGACTAGCAATACTGGAGATGAACTGTCAAGAGTTTAAATCCTAGATGCCACATAACACATATTTATCACTCTCGACATCATCCTTGTGAGGTAACAAGAGGGGAAGGGGAAGAGAACTACCTAGAAGATGATCCATGTGGGGTGTTCCTACACATATGTGAAGTAGTTTAGTAGGTGCTGAGGAGGTCTACAGACCAAAAGAACTAGGTTCAAGTCCTGGCTCTCGTACCTACTAGCTTTAGATTCCTTACCTAGGAAGTGGCAATAAAACATTCCCTACTTTCATAGGTAGATGAAAACACATGCAAAATGCCTATCCAATGAGCAACTATTAAGTCCCCCAATGCTATCTTGTGCTAGGCCAGAAGTCTGGCTATCAACACCTTCTGTATCTAAAGTGCCCCACTGAAGCCAGCTGGAGGCCAACTGAGATACCCTGGGGCCTTGTCCAGGGGGAGTGATCCAGACTGATCACCCACTGTCCTCAGGATGTGGTAAAATACCACCTGTCCTACATCCTTGGGGCATCCCATCCCAGCTTCTGTAACATTGACAAGAAGGATAAAGGAGAGCTGGGCACTCTGATGGGATGGGCTGTGAAGAGCTGAGCATCCAACACAGTGAAAGAGGAGGTTCCATTTGGTGAAGACCCAGGGAAGCAGCAACTTCCTGGGGTCTGTACTTTGATTGCTGCTGCAAAAGCCACCAACATCCTTTTCAAGTCTGAATCATTCTATTTATTTATTTTTGAGTTAAGAGTCTCACTATATAGTCCAGGCTAGCCCCAAACTCACAGTGATCCTCTTGTCAGCCTCCCAAGTACTGGGATTACAGCTATAGGCCACCATGCCCAGCAGAACCACCCAATTCTTGAGACTCAAAATGCTCAGTCCTCCTCTTAATCCCATTACGTGTGCTGCCGAGGCTACGAGATGTGCTGAGGCTACGAGATGTTTCTCACAGCAGGGATATGGCCAGGATGAAGAGAGCCCATGGGGAGGAAGCAGGGAAATAGGGATTAGAAAAAATAGTCTCATAGGTAATGCTTCTTGGGGTAATGCCCAGGGCAGGCAACTTCCTCCCCTGATGTTTCTTTACAGGACAAAGAGGAGGTAAGACTGAAGAGTGGCTATCATGAAAAGAATTTCCCTTCTATATAGTTCTTACCAGGCCTATTCATTGAAGCCCCTTATCTCACCAACAGGATGGCAGGTCAAGGCTTACCTGCCCTTCTGGGCAAAAGAAACAGGACCTGGGTAAAGCCCGCCCTACTTTCCTCTCCACCTCCAACCTCTCTGCTCTCAGTGAGATGTGCAATCCCAGATATCCAAAGCTCTGGCCCACATCATACCCTAGGCAAGCCCCCAAGGCCTAAGGAGGTCTGCTGAAAGAAGCCCCATGGCTCTCAAGCAGGCTTCAGAAAAAATAAGGAGTCCCTCTGCAAGGCAGAATATGGAACCCAATGGTAGATTTAGGTGGTTATTAAGCAGGTTAATTTTACAAGTAGGGCCAGCCAGGTGTGGTGGCATACGCCTGTAATCCCAGCACTCAGAGACTGAGGCAGGAGGATTGCCATGAATTTAAGGCCAGCCTGGGCTACACAGTGAGTTCACGGGCAGCCTGAATTACATAGCAAGACCTTAAAAAAAAAAAAGTAGGGCCAAATCAGCTTTGAGGCCACAATCAACAGGAGAGAAGCCAGGGCATAGAGGGTAAGAGAAAGATAATTTATTTGTAAATCCACTGGATCTGCCAGGGCCATTCTTCCTGGAATCTCAGAACCTGGCTTAGGCATGTTTGCCAGGCCTGCCCAGAAGGAAGCCTCCACCCCAAGACGCCTGGTGCTGACTCAGGTAGGCAGAGCCCCCCTGCCATAATGCTGGAGGCTTGTACAACAATTCTTTCCTGGAGAAGCCATGCTCTGAGGCTCTGCATGCAGGGCTGGCCTCTGGGGTTCCGTGGTTTGCCCAGGGCTGGGAAGGGGCCAGGCTGGGAAAGGTGATAAGCAGGCATTCCCGGGCAGAGGCAGAGTGAAGACGAGTGTCCCTTGGGCACCTGCCCCAGGCGTTGGCCCCAGATCCCAGCCTAGACCTCACCGTAGCACCCTAACATTCTCTCAGTTCACAGCCCACATCTATGGCCGCCAACAGCCCTGGAAGACTAAAGGAAGATTTCTCTCCTCATATATTCCTGTATTCCTTTCCTAACCAATGCCTCTTGGAC